TCTGGTCGAAATTGAGCTTCTTGGCAGGAGGAGCGTCACCCAAGCCCTCAATGTCCACCAAGTCGCTGTGAGCGTCAGAGTCATTCAGGGCACTGAGAGTCACATCTGGTGGGAGAAAGAAGACCCCAGGTCAGTTCCTGGGAGTTATGCACACACACACACACGTGCGTGCGCGCGCACACACACGTCCTCTCTCCACCCCTGGTCGAAATTGAGCTTCTTGGCAGGAGGAGCGTCACCCAAGCCCTCAATGTCCACCAAGTCGCTGTGAGCGTCAGAGTCATTCAGGGCACTGAGAGTCACATCTGGTGGGAGAAAGAAGACCCCAGGTCAGTTCCTGGGAGTTATGCACACACACACACACGTGCGTGCGCGCGCACACACACGTCCTCTCTCCACCCTGCAGGAGCCGCAAAAGGAGAGGCTTTGCACAAGCACCTAAGGCGTCCCTCGAAGGCAGACCTACAGCGTTTCCCCCCCCCCGCACATTCACGCACTCACCTGAAGCCTTCTGCTTCTTCACAGGGAGTGGAGCCGAAGGGTCGGGAAGCCCCCCTGCCCCTGGTACAGAGGGGGGGGCTTGTTGTTGTTGTTGTTGTTGCTGCTGCTGCTGCTGTGGAGGCTGCGGCAGCTGCCCCTTGCGGGCCCCCTTCTTTGGAGACTCCGTGGGAAGGGGCAGCCCACTATCCTCGTAGGCCTTGCGCTTCGCTGCCCCTTTCAGCTGGGCCCTAGGGGAGGAGGGGTGGGGTGGGGAGGAAAGGGAGGCAAGTGGGGTTAGGAGGCAGGGAGTTGCACCACCACCCCCTCACTGACTTACTTACCTACCTGCCTGCCTTACACTTACACCCACCCACACCCGCACGGACACAAAGAGGCCTTGTCTAAGTAGGGGTCCATACAGTGCTGTGGCTACTGGACTCCCAAGGCTGGGAGGAGCAGGATTCCCCTTCCCAGCCCACCCCACAACCCCACCCCAACCCCCAGCATGGAAGCTTCCCCTGGGGCAGCAGGACCGGTCAGCCTGCCGACCATGATTGCATGGACGTGGGCCGGGCAGAGCTCCTTCTCAGACACCCTGGAAGACTTCCCTACAAAACCATCTGCCATCTTCCCTGCCCAGGGTTCCACCGCCACCACCTGGATTGCCCCTTACACCGTGCGGTCTTTGATGAGCGCGCTGATGCGGTTTAGATCATCTCCAAAACGCTGGACGGACGCCCGTAACAGGGAGATCTCTGCATCTGTCCATTTAGCCCTGGGGAGGGACGGCGAAGGGGGGGGCGTCAGGATGCTGCCAGGAGGCTCCCTCCGCCCTACCACCTACTGCAAGTGAGGACCCCCCCCTTCCTCAAGCTACTCCTCCAGTCCTTGGAACTACCACACAATGTGTCCTGCCTCATCACGGCTTTGCACTTTTTATGTGCACAAGGCAAATCTTAATCTGTATCCGCCCAGGGTGAGGGAAGCAACGACGAGGCATCAAGAGCGCCATCCCGTGCGGCTGGTGTGCTCAAGATTCATTTACTTCAGATCCAGCAGGGACTCAGTGACCGGACCTGGCAAGAACCCTTTGCATTCCTCCTGCAGTGAACAAGGGTCTTGTCGGTCCCTTCCAACTTCATGACCTTAGGATTCTATACTGTACAGTATTTGGGACCACAGGAAGAAGGGGAAGGCATGGCTTTCCTTGTTGCTTTGGTTCAATGGGGCATTTTGGAAGCCGAACTCCAAAAAAAGTAGCCTTCTCAGGAACCTCTCTAAAGAGTCCTAGGAACCAAGGGGCCTTGGGGGGGGGGAGAC